TATTGTCCTGGACTTTTGCTTATTGGGAGTTTTTTTATTACCAATTCCGTTTCATTACTGTTGTTTGATCTATTCAGCTTTTCTGTTTCTTCTTGGGTCAATCTTGGAAGGTTATAATTTTCTAGGAATTTGTCCATTTCCTCTAGGTTGTCCAATTTATTGGCATGTAATTTTTCAGAGTACTCTAATTCTTTGTATTTCTGTGGTGTCCATAATGATTTTTCCTTTCTCATTTCTGATTCTGTTTATGTGTGTAGACTCTCTTTTTGTCTTGATAAGTCTGGCAAGGGGTTTATCTGTTTTGTTTATTTTTTCAAAAGAACCAGCTCTTGATTTCATTACTTTTTATATTGTTTTATTCTTCTCATTTTTATTTATTTCTTCTCTGATCTTTATTATGTCCCTTTTTATACTAACTTTGGGCCTCATTTGTTCTTTTTCTAGTTTTCTTTAATTGTGAGTTTAAACTGCTCATTTGGGGTTCTTGTTTCTTGAAGTAGGCCTGTATTGCTATTAGAACTGCATTTGCAGCATCCCACGTACTTTGAACTGTTGTATTTTTGTTTTCATTTGTCTCCATGTATTGTTTGATTTCCCCTTTGATTCATTCATTGACCCATTGGTTATTTAGAAGAATATTGTTGGGGCCTCCATGTGTTTGTGTTTTTTTATGGTTTTCTTCATGTAATTCATTTCTGCTTTCATACCATTGTGATCTGAAAAGATGCTAGATACGATTTCAGTCTTTTTTATTTTATTGAGGCTCTGTTTGTGTCCTAATATGTAATCTATTCTGGAGAATGTTCCACGTGTACTTGGGAAAAATGTGTATCCTGCTACTTCTGGGTGGAACGTTCTGTACATACACGTTAAGTCCTGATGTAATGTGTCATTCAATGCCTGTTTCCTTATTTATTTTCTGTCTGGATAATGGTCCTTTGATGTAAATGGGGTGTTACAATCCCCTAATATGATTGTATGGCTGTATTTTTCTCCCTTTAGGTCTGTTAATATTTTGTTTTACATATTGAGGTGCTCCTATGTTTGGTGCATAGATATTTATAATGGTTATATCCTCTTCTTGGAGTGATCCCTTTATCATTATGTAATGTTCTTCTTTTGTCTCTTTTTCCTTTTTTTGTTTTGAAGCCTATTTTGTCTAAGTACTGCTACTCCTGCTTTTTCCTCCCTCTTATTTTCATGGATTATCTTTTTCCATCCCTTCACTTTCAGTCTATGTATGTCTTTAGGTCTGGAATGATTGTCTTGTAGGCAGCATATAGACAATTCTTATTTCTTTATGCATTCTGCCAGCTTATGTCTTGATTGATGCATTTAGTCCATTTACATTTATGGTAATTATTGATAGGTTGTACTTACTGCCATTTTATTAATTGTTTTCTGGTTGTTTCTGTAGTTCCTCTCTGTTCCTCTCTTCTCTTATACTCTTCTCTGGTTATGTGATGGGGTTTTTTAGTGTTATGCTTGGATTCCTTTTTAAAAACTTTGTGTATCTATTTTAGGCTTTAGGCTTGTTGTTACTATAAGGTTTATATCTATATATAGATATAGAGCAAATCTATTTCAAACACAATCTAAAATTACTGTTTCATTCTTCCTCCTCCTTTACAATTTATGTATAAGATTTCATAATCTGTATCTTTTATGGACCCCTTGACTGATTTTCTGTATAATTGATTTTGCTATTTTTTTTAACCTACTTGCTTAGTATAAGTAATTGGTCTACTTCCTTTACTGTAGGTTTATTTCAATATGAAGAGTATTTAGGCTTAAGAACATTTCCATCTACAGAAGTCTCTTTAACATATCTGGTTAAGACTAGTTTAATGGTGGTGAATTCTTTTCACTTTAATTTATCTGAGAAAGTTAGTCTTTCCTTCAATTCTGAATGAAGTAACTGTCTGCCTCTCTTTTGCTGCTTTTAAGATTCTCTCTTTATCTTTAATCTTTGCCATTTTAATTACTATATGTATTGGTGTTGTTTTCCTGATACTCCTTTTGTTAAGGGCTCTCTGTGCTTCTTGGGCCAAGGTATCAATTTCCTTCTCCAGATTAGGGAAGTTTTCAGCTATTATTTCTTCAAAGAGACTTTCTATTTCTTTGTTTCTCTTCTTCTGGGACCCCTATTATGCAAATACTGTTTCATTTGGAGTTGTCACGCAGCTCTCTTAGAGTACTCTTGTTTCTAGAGATTGTATTTTCTCTCTGTTCCTCAGGTTGGTTGTTTTCCTGTTCTCTGTTTTCCATCTCATTGATTCTTTCCTGTACTTCCAGCAGTTTGCTATTCATTCCCTCCATAGTATTTTTCATTTCAGTTATAGTATTCTTCAATTCTGAGTGTCTCTCTTCCAAATTGTCTCTTTGTTGAAATCCTCCCTGAGATCAATTCTTTTCCCCAGGTCAGTAAGCATCTCTGTGACTGTTACTTTGAAACCTTTATCATGAAGACTGCTAATGTCCATTTCATTTAGCCCTTTTTCCAGTGTCTTATCTTATTTTGTTTGGAACATATTCCTCTGCTTCCTTATTTTGTCTGGGTTTCTGTTTATTCCTTTGTATTAAGTAAATCAGCAATATCTCCTGGTCTAGAAAGTAATGGCTTTATAAAGTAGGCATCCTGTGATGTCCAGAAGAAGCAAGACCCTGCTCACCAGTACCTGGTTCTCTTTTGAGACAGAGCCACAGTTGCTGTTGTGGGCTGTGGGCAGGGTCTGTCTTTCTGCCTGTCTTCAGACAGTGGCTGATCTGTCAGCAGAGCTGACAGCTCACCTCTGCATGTCCTTTATGTGCTGTTCAGCACTTCCGCTGGGATTTGTTTTGAGTCAGGCTGCCCTCTGCCTGCTAGTCAGCAATGGTGGTGACTGCCTGCCCCAGTTGGGCAGGGGAACATAGCCAAAGGGCTGAGCCACCAGTGAGGGAGTGTTTGGAGCTGGCTTTCATGAGCGTCTGACATTTTAGGCTGAAGGATAGCTGGGAAAAATTGTCCACGAGACGTTTCTCCTCTGGAGAGAGCTCCCTCTGACCTCCACCCCTCTGGCACACTTCCCACTGCTGGTAAATCTTTCAGACTGCCTCCTCTGTGTTAGGTCTCAGTGGGACCAACAGAGTATACCTGTCCTCCACAAGTTACAGAATTCTGACTCTCCCTTGTCTCTGGCCCCCGTTAATTACCAAAGAATAATGCAATGTGGCCTCCTGTTCCCAGAGCAGATCTTGAGGGCCAGGTGTGCAGGATTCCTAAGGGTTTACCTCTCCCTCCCACTTATAGTCTGGGAAGGGGCAAGAGCTTTAATCCCAATTGATCATGGCTCTGCCTCTTTACCCTTCTCCATGTGACTCTTCTTCAGCAGGTGTGGGTGGTTTGTTCTGCAGTCTTCAGGTCATTTTCTGGGATGGCTGTATTTGCTGCAGTTGCTTCCCTGGTGTGTACATGGAAGGGGTTTTCCTTGCCTTCTTACTCTGCCATCTTTTCTCCTCTTTCCAACTCCAGTAATTATAAGTGATAATTATCTTGTGGGTCTTCAGGGAGCTAAGGACAGAGACTTAGTACTAGAGTCTTTGTATTTTGTTTTCATCTCTCTCATCCTCTGCATTCTCAGTGCCTATAACAAGAAAGCATATTCAGTATATAAAATTTAGTTAAAACATATAACAGTGACTACTTACTCATTCAATTAGTGAATTTCTTATCTCAGTGAATGGCCCCATCATCTGGCCATCAGCCCAAGCCATAATTCTAGGAATCTTCACCTCTTCCCTTTTCTTTGTCCCCTTCCCATAAAATTCACAACCAGATCCTATGGATTTATCTCCTTAATAGCTCTTGTCTTTGTTCCCTGGCCCTCTGTTTTCCCTCAGCCAGTGTTTGTTTAGACTGCTTTAGTCACAGGTTTGCTGCAGTTGCCTCCCAAGTAGTATCCATGCTTCTTATCTCTTTCCTCCTGAGCCTGTCACTTTCAAACCCATCAATATCACTCTCCTGCTCTGTGTCTTAATCCTTAAGTGCCTTGTCATATTTTCAAGATGAAAGTCCAAATTCCTCAGTACTGTTTTTGAGACCATTCATGATCTGGTCTACCGTCTTCCACCTCCCCAATTTTATTATGAAATAATTGGCATACATCACTATAAATTTCAGTTGTAGAGCATGTTGGTCTCATTTGCATATATTGTGAAATGATTGTCACATGTAGATTTAGTTAACATCCATTGGATGTTAACTAAATCTATATAAATCTCATATAAATACAATAAAAAAGACAAAGTTCTCCTTGTGATAAGAACTCTTAGGATTTACTCTCTTAACAACTTTCCTATATATCATACAGCAGTATTAACTGATGTGTGTGTGTGTGTGTGTGTATGCACATAGTTTTTTTATTCATTCATCCGTCATTGAACACTAAATTTATTTCCATGTCTTGGTTATTGTAAATAATGCTGCAGTGATAATGGGGACTCAGTTTTCTTTTTGAGTTAGTGTTTTTGTTTCCTTTGAATATATTCTCAGAAGTGGAATTGTTGGATCATATGGTAGTTCTGTTTTTAATTTATTGAGGAACCTGCTTACCTCTATCATTATGGAACTCCGTACCTCTATGCCTTCACACATACTGTTCCCTCAACCTAGAATGTCCTTTCCCCACCTTTTGTCTCATATCTTTCTATGGGGCCTTTGAAACTCAGCTACTGCTGACTATTTTTTCAGGGTGCCCTCACTCACTCTTCCAGCCATGGCTTCCTTGCACCCTGAGGATTCTGTCTTCCTCCTTAATACATTGTCTTATCGTTATTGATGTATATATCTGTCTCCTATACCACCCAGACTGAAAGTAACCAAGGCAGTTATTCTTTTACTTTATTCAGCAGGAATTGCCAAAAGCTAGCCTCAGGTATGGCCCATGATAGGTTTATACCTTAGTAAATGTAAAATAAATAAAAAAGCTTTTGCAGCTTACTAATGATCCTTTATTTTCTAGGTACATGGTTCAGTGGCCTGGTGGCCGAATCCTGCATCGCCATGAGCTAGACACCTTCCTTGCACAGGCAGTATCTACCCAACTTTATGAACCAGATCAACTTCAAGAACTCAAGGTGATTTGGTCTACTCATTTAAATTCTGTCTTTTATGAGCTTATGGCTTTTCCTTAGGTCTTTTTCGTGGTGAGAAGAGTAAATCCTGCAGGTAAATGCTTAGTTGGCTTTAATCAAATACTTATGTCTATTAGTAAAACCAAAAATGTCCCCCAACACGGCTCCTATACTGATGGGTGTTAATGGACAGAAAAGAAGTATATGTAAGTCTTGGCCCACAGACCAGAGTGAGGTTTCTGACTCTTCTAAGATATATTACAGGGAACTTTCCCTGTTTGTCTCTGAGTAAATGTCTAGCCTCCCTTTTCAGTAATACTTACTGGGTGTTAGAAATCTAGAAGAGCCTAAGGAAGAAAGAAATCCACTACATAGAAGGTTGGAGGGTAGCTTAGAAGTCAGACTGCTTAGTTTTTTTTTTATAATCATTAATCTACAATTACATGAAGAACATTATGTTTACTAGGGTCCCCCCTTCACCAAGTCCCCCCCACAAATCCCATTACAGTCACTGTCCATCAGCATAGTAAGATGTTGTAGAATCACTACTTCTCTTCTCTGTGTAGGACAGCCCTTCCCATTCCCCCCACCACCACACATTATACATACTTATTGTAATACCTCATTCCTTCTTCCCTGCCCTTACCCCTCCCTTCGCTCCCACTCTTCCCAGTTCCTTTCCCTTTGGTAACTGTTAGTCCATTCTTGGGTTCTGTGATTCTGCTGCTCTTTTGTTCCTTCAGTTTTTCTTTGTTCTTATACCCCACTTATGAGTAAAATCCTTTGGTATTTGTCTTTCTCCGCCTGGCTTATTTCACTGAGCATAATACCCTCTAGCTCCATCCATGTTGTTGCAAATAGTAGGATTTGTTTTCTTCTTATGGCTGAATAATATTCCATTGTGTATATGTACCATATCTTCTTTATCCATTCATCTACTGATGGACATCGTAGGTGTGCATCTGTCTTTTTCAAACTGGGCTGCTGCATTCCTTTTTTTTAATCATAAATCTACAATTACATGAAGAACATTATATTTACTAGCCTCCCCCCTTCACCAAGCCCCCCCCACATACCCCTTCACAGTCACTGTCCATCTGCATAGTAAGATGCTGTAAAATCACTACTTGTCTTCTCTGTGTTGCACAGCCCTCACCGTGCCCCCCCACGCACTGTACATGCTAATCGTAATATCCCGTTTCTTTTTCGCTGACCTTTTCCCTCCCTTTCCCTTTGGTAACTATTAGTCCATTCTTGGGTTCTGTGATTCTGCTGCTGTACGGTTCCATCAGTTTTCCTTTCTTCTTATACTCCACATATGAGTGAAATCATTTTGTACTTGTCTTTATCCACCTGGCTTATTTCACTGAACATAATACCCTATAGCACCATCCATGTTGTTGCAAATGGTAGGATCTGTTTTTTTCTTATGGCTGAGTAATATTCCATTCTGTATATATACCACATCTTTTTTATCCATTCATCTACTGATGGGCATTTAGGTCGCTTCCATAACTTGGCCATTGTAAATAGTGCAGCGATAAACATAGGGGTGTGTCTGTCTTTTTCAATTTGGAGTGCTGCATTCTTAGGGTAAATTCCTAGAAGTGGAATTCTTGGATCAAATGGTATTTCTCTTTTGAGCATTCTGAGGAACCTACATACTGCTTTCCACAATGGTTGAAATAATTTACATTCCCACCAGCAGTGTAGGAGGGTTCCGCTTTCTCTACAACCTCGCCAACATTTGTTGTTTCTCTTTAAGATGATGGTGATCCTTACTGGTGTGAGGTGATATCTCATTGTGGTTTTAATTTGCATTTCTCTAATGATAACCGATGTGGAGCATCTTTTCATGTGCCTATTGGCCATCTGGATTTCTTCTTTAGAGAACTGTCTATTCAGCTCCTATACCTATTTTTTAATTGGATTATTTGCTTTTTGTTTGCTGAGGTGTGTGAGCTCTTTATATATTTTGGATGTCAGTCCTTTATCGGATCTGTCATTTATGAATATATTCTACTATACTGTAGGATACCTTTTTGTTCTACTGATGGTGTCCTTTGCTGTACAGAAGGTTTTTAACTTAATATAGTCCCACTTGTTCATTTTTGCCTTTGTTTCCCTTGCCAGGGGAGATATGTTCATGAACAAGTCACTCATGTTTATGTCCATGAGATTTTTGACTATGTATTTTTCAAAGAGTTTTATGGTTTCATGACTTACATTCAGGTCTTTGATCCATCTGGAGTTTACTTTTGTGTATGGTATTAGACAGTGATCCAATTTCATTCTCTTACATGTGGCTGTCCAATTTTGCCAGCACCATCTGTTGAAGAGACTGTCAGTTCTCCATTCTTTGTCCATGGCTCCTTTTTCGTGTATTAATTGGCCATATCTGTTTGGATTAATGTCTGGAGTCTCTCTTCTGTTCCACTGGTCTGTGGCTCTGTTCTTGTGTCAGTACCAAATTGTCTTGATTACTGTGGCTTTGTAGTAGAGCTTGAAGTTGGGGAGCGAGATCACCCCCACTTTACTCTTCCTTCTCAGGATTGCTTTGGCTATTCAGAGTCTTTGGTGTTTCCATATGAATTTTTGAACTATTTGTTCCAGTTCATTGAAGAATGCTGTTGGTAATTTGATAGGGATTGCATCAAATCTGTATATTACTTTGAGCAGGATGGCCATTTTGACTATATTAATTCTTCCTAGCCATGAGCATGGGATAAGTTTCCATTTGTTAGTGTCCTCTTTAATTTCTCTTAAGAGTGTCTTATACTTTTCAGGGTATAGGTCTTTCACTTCCTTGGTTAGGTTTATTCCTAGACATTTTATTCTTCTTGATGCAATTGTGAATGGAATTATTTTCCTGATTTCTCTTTCTATGGGTTCATTATTAGTGTATAGGAAAGGCACAGATTTCTGTGTGTTAATTTGTATCCTGCAACTTTGCTGTATTCCGATATCAGTTCTAGTAGTTTTGGAGTGGAGTCTTTAGGGTTTTTTATGTACAATATCTTGTCATCTGCAAATAGTGACAGTTTAACTTCTTCTTTACCAACCTGGATTCCTTGTATTTCTTTGTTTTGTCTCATTGCCATGGCTATGACCTCCAGTACTATGTTAAATAACAGTGGGGAGAGTGGGCATCCCTGTCTTTTTCCCGATCTCAGAGGAAATGCTTTCAGCCTCTCGCTGTTCAGTATGACGTTAGTTGTGGGTTTATTATATATGGCCTTTATTATGTTGAGGTACTTGCCCTCTATACCCATTTTGCTGAGAGCTTTTATCATGAATGGATGTTGAATTTTGTCAAATGCTTTTTCAGCA